TACTCTTGGATGATTTTTGAATGATTGAAACTATGAGATACAAGGTCTATTTGTAGCCAACAAATCTTCCTGATGATGTAAGCAATGATGTAAGCAAAGCCTGATGTAAGCGATAACATATGCAACTGATGATGTAAGCGATGACATATACAACTGCTGATGTAAGCGATGACAAATGCAACTGCTGATGTAAGCGATGACATATGCAACTGTTGATGTAAACGATGACATATTTTGAGCCAATTCTAATTTTGCAACTTCCAAATTTGTCAACACTAAATTTGTTAACAATGGTGGTGATGGTTATGGAGTAAGGGTGGCGGTTCCAGTGGTGGTGGTTGTCGACAGATATGAAAGTCGCCAGAAAAAGTGTAGTTGGACAGGATGGAGAACCCATCGAGCATGCAAAGAGGAATTTTAGCTTATGTCCTCTTTGGTCATTTCATAAATACAACTTTTTAAAATAATATAAAAATTGTGTATAAAGGGATAATTTGGTCATTCTATTACTTTAATAGTGAGGAGGGAGGTTTTTGCACAATTTAAAAAATTGGTAGGTTTTGTGCACGAGTCAATATACATATCACATCTAAATAGTAAATAAATAAAATTTTAAAATTCAATAATAATAAGAAAAACAAAAAATTCTAATTATATGTATCTTTTGCACTTGTCCAATAGTAAATTGGGAAAATGATATTTAGTTTTTCTCCATTATTATCATTTTCTTACATTAACTCTCATTTCCCATCAAAATACCTGTGTCATTTCCAAATATTAAACCTACCTACCTCCACAAAAATAGTTTCATTAACATGATAAACACTCTACAATTCTACCACTCACATTCTCACTTCTCTCACAGCACTTACCCTCACCAGTTGTTGATTACAAATGACACATTTATTCTTTATATATACATCCTCCTCGTATATCAATTACTATGATAATTTATAATCAATGATTAAGATTTACTTTCAACAATTATCCTCTAAAATATTCAAGAAATTTACAAACTCCCTAATTTTTCCTACTTTTCTAAAATCTTTCTTTAGTCTACCAATTCCAAAAAGCTCTCCATTGTACCCTATAATACTCCACAATCTTCCACAAATGTAAAACATTGTACAACTCTATGTTCTCTACATAAATATGAATTTCTTTAGAACCAAACTCTCTTTACATATAGTCGACCTCAACACTCTGTCACATGCGGGGCACAAACTCCCAGCATATAGGCCAGGAGTCACTGACTCTACATTCAAGGCCACAGGCTGAACTGTCCTTCCTATTTTATTTACCCAAAAAAAAAAAAAAAAAAATCTATGTCCTTCCAAAGGTTATAATAACACCCGTGCAAAATAATTTAGTACCATTAATACAAATAATAATGAGAAAGACCCCATCCTATACGTTGGATTTGTCTTTGATAAAACGAGTCGTTCCAACCCAAACTAACTCATATTTTTGAAACAACATATATTATTATATATACGATGAGTTACTTGGTTGTTAGTGCGTGTAGTTGATTATTAATTTTTTAGATATATATAATTTCAATTAATTTTAATTTAAAATTAAATACAAGGATATGATTAAAAAAACAATAATTTACTGAATAATCTCCAGGCAACCAAGTAAAGAAAATCAGTATCACTGGTCACTCTACTTGATTTAAATCCAAACCAAGAAAGAATAATCAACAAGGAAATATTAGTTTTGCCGAGAAGGAAATAGAAATCACATTGTGTCCTTAATAAATGTGCAATTAAGACCACATTGTGCCAATTTGGTAAATAAATGTGCAATTATTTATTTCTTTTTTAGAGGGTTACTTAGTGGTATTATTATTAATAAATATATGTTGAGGGTGTGTATATCTCACTTATTAGTAAGTGAAATTTGTTCAACAACTCAGATCCTTCTTTATAAAACATACCATTTAAGTTTAGAATCTAATAATCCAAATTCAAAATGAATGGATCAATATAATAAGCTCGACTCAAGAGTATCTTACTTTATATATATAATGAAAAATGATATTATTGACGATTTTAATATCCCGACTTAAAATCGACAGATATAAAATATGACATGATTATTTTAAAATTTTAAATTAAATAGTCATCATTACTATTCTTTTCATAAAATTCGTCTATTTTTCCTTTTCAGTTTTTCATATCCCATTTCTTTATCTTTTTAGTTTTTTTATTTATGGTTGTATCATCTTCTTTTTTTTTTTCTTTTTTTCGTTTTCATATCAAGTTTCATGGTACTCAAATATATGAATTTGATTTGTACAAAATCTATAACAAAAATTACATTTTTTTTTTTTCATACAATTTTTCAATACTTTGAAAACAAAATTTAAAATTTCTCTCCTTATTTTTGTTTCTGGGAGTCAGATAGATCATTAACTTTAATCATTATAGCAATTAACAAATGCCTATCAAAGTAATTGATGTATATTAATGATCAAAGATATAATGTTTTATATATAATGAGGGTGAAGGATACACAAGCTAATTCTATATAGAAGATGTAAGTATTTCAAGAATTCTTATAGAGATGCATGCAATGTGACGTGTGTGTGTGTATATATATATATAATATATACACAATTTGTTATACATAGTGATTGAAATTTTAATTGTCAACAAAGATACTAGATTAAGATGAAATCTTAAAAAAATCTACAACTTTCAAAATAGTTATATTTTAATGTGTCTCGTGTAATGGGATACATAAATAGGCACATAATCTCAGTGAAATAGTAGATTTTTATTTGTAAGGCTAAATAGCAGGACTCATATATAACATACATGCATAATTGGTGTGCAATATGATTAGAAGCTTTATTTATAGAAACAATCAAATAATGCAACTAAAATACCTTCAAAAAAGAACGTAAATATATTATAAGAGATGAAATCATATGCACTCCATCTGAAGGTATTTTAGTTGCATTATTTGATTGTTCCTGCAAATAAAGCTTCTAAGCATATTGCACTTCCTAGCAATTTTTCATTTAGAAATATATTATAAGGTTAATATCTGTGAGAGTTAAAAAGACCGTAAATCTCTAACAATTAATGGGGTAGTTTAAAGTAAACCAATCTTTTGATGATAAAATACAACGGGTTTGTTTAGTAAACTTAGTAAATTCCAGATTCAACCAATTTGGTAGTCCGTTCTATACATCGCTAGCAAGGCAAGCTGTGAGCATTGAAACAATATTTATGACCATCTTTGGAATCGATTGATTGATTTAGAGGCAAATAATGATGTCTGAGTGATAATTAGCGTATCATTTTCCTGCAATCCAATGATATGCTCATTTTTGTGACCCCCTTATAGCAAGTCCAACTGTGATACTTCCGATGATTCTGGACTGAATTTGAAAACTGAGCTGTTCCAATAGACTGTTCAAAAAGTGAGCCCCATTAAGACAATCTTGATCCAAGTCTCCAAAAATCAAGATTGGTTTGGAGAATTGCGGCCCTAACATGCGGGCCAGCATATGTTTCCTTTTTATTTTTTAATTCTGGCCAAAGCAGTGTTTTAGCCCAAAACACTATTTGGCAAGGCCTGTTTGGCCAAAAAAAACGAAAGAAAAAATTAATTTTTTTGGCTGATTTTGGTCTTTTTTTTTTCCTCAAAATAATTGAACCAAAGAGCCATTGACGCACTGTTTGGTTGATACAAATAGTGCTTTAAAGGCTTTTTTGGGCAAAAAAAAGTTAAAAAAAAATAGATAAAAGTTTTTTTTTTTTTTTTTTTTTAATATTCCTATTGACATATAGCCGTTTTAGGCACTGTTTGGCTGACCCAAACAATGCCTTAACGGCTATATTGGCACAAAAACCTATTTTTTAAATTCTTTTTTTGATTGTATTGCTTAAATTTATATCGTATGGTATTATTTTTAATAATAAATATTTTATTGTTTAATTTTTATTTTTTTTTTATGATATAGCCGTTTTAAAAATATAGCCGTTTGGAAAAAATTAAAAAATAAAATTTATTAAAAATTTTAATAGAGTGAAAATGCACCATTGGAGTACATCCGATAGCTAAAATTTAGAGATTCTAAAATGCTGACGTGGCTATGAAAAATGTTAACATGGTTATGAAAAAATGCTGATATAATAAATTCAGAGAGTCTAAATTTGGAGAGTCCATTGGAAATACCTTTAGAATCTGTAACCCTTGTACATGGTGTGCTTTGTTAAGGTGACATGTACAATAACACAATAACAAGAAATTAAAAACTGCAGCAACTTGCAAATACAAGATGTGTCGTGCATGACATGTCATTAGTATGTTTGGTCAATTAAAATATAATAAATTATTTTATATAATAATCTTTGAGTATATATATTTTTTAATTAATGATACTTGAGTCATACAATTCTTCTCAGTGGGTATCGACTTTTCGAGTACGTTCTGGCTTTCACGCTTCGCACAGACTCTTGCTTCGGTTCCTACTCTGTGTAATTTAATTTTTGCCCTCACGTTCCTACTCTCGAATCCGCTGTTAGACCGTCCCTCCCACTATTGCTCTATGAAACTTAAATTGGTGCTCATTTTTTTTTAATTTTTATTAATCGGGCACACCAATAATATGACAGGCTTAACTCACCTAATATCTTTAATTATGTAGTTTATTTGTTAGGTTAAAATATCATTTTTTTTTTAAAAAAAGAGGAAAGTAGCGTTTGTAAAAAATATTAAAAAAAATTATTTTATGGACGTTTTTCATAAAATTAAAAGTTAAAAGAAAATTAATCTCTTATATATATTTGCAGGAAAATTCTTTGATGAGTAATGCTATTGGATAACTGAAACAAATAGTCTTATATTTTTGAGTTCAAGTAAATTATTCTTAAAAAGACAAAAGAAAGAACAAAAATAAAAATATTAAAACGGAAAAACAAAAGTAAAAAATCCAACAACCTGTCTTGAGAGTCGTCGTCCTCTGCTGCCCTCCGTCCCTTCCCCCCCCCCCCCCCCCCCCCCCCTCTCTCTCTCTCTCTCTCATCCCCCTCTTTCTCCTCTATCGTTCCAATCGGACCCATATGGCAAGCCTCTGGCGAGCCGCGATGGGCTCGAACCAATCACCCGAAGACTACGAAGGCGTGGAGTTCTGGTCGAACCCAGAGCGCACCGGTTGGCTCACGAAGCAAGGCGAGTACATCAAGACCTGGCGTCGCCGTTGGTTCGTGCTCAAGCAGGGGAAGCTCTTCTGGTTCAAGGAATCGACGGTCAACCGCGTTTCCAAGCCACGTGGCGTGATCCCAGTCTCCACCTGCCTCACTGTGAAAGGGGCCGAAGACATCCTCAACAAGCAGTTCGCATTCGAGCTCTCCACTCGATCCGAGACCATGTACTTCATCGCCGATTCCGAGAAGGAGAAGGAGGATTGGATCAACTCCATCGGACGGTCCATCGTTCAGCACTCGCGATCTGTCACCGATAACGAAATCGTCGATTACGATAGCAAGAAATAGAGATCGAGATCGGCTTTATTATTTCTGTAAAATTAGGTACGTTTGATCCTCAATCCCTCTGAATGATCACTTGGTTGAATTCTGTCTGTTGTTGTTGAAATGTTTGTATATCAATTAAAGACTAGTTTTTGTTTGATCACAGTCAGAGTACTCTGTTTTCGTTATAGTTATAATCATATATTAAATGCGTTTTTGTTAATGGATTGTGTGTTTCTTGAATGGAAGGTGTTATCTTATTCACTTGTGTTTATAATCTATGTTTTGTTTCTATATTTGTAGCTTCAGTAAGGACTTCACTGTTTGGTTTTAGTGTTTGGGTTAGAAATTATAGGGGCGCCCATTTATGAGTTAATGAATGTTGAGAAAACCTTTTAGAATATAATTGAGAGAATGTGAACAAACTTTTGCATTTCTAGGGCTGTTTTTGCTATCTCCAGTGGCACTATGCTGAATGTAACTAATGATTGATAGACTCTGTCGTAAGTTCGCACTATGCTGAATGTAATTAATGATAAACTCTTTGCAAATTGATGTCATTGCTGAATCTAATCTCAGAACTACAAAATTGATTGGTGATGTTATTCCTGAATCTAATCTCACAACTACAAAATTGGTTGGGCAGAGTTAACAAAGTGTCACGAGCTACGCTCATAAGAAGAGATTAATACTCACAAGTCTCTTCTACTAGCCCATGTAAGTCTCTACTCCTCTAAAATGTTCTCTAATCTCTTTTTATGATCTTTATTCTGCACACTACTACCACTTTCTAGAATCCTCCAACATTCATAATTCTATACACAAGCCTGAAAGACTCTAGGACCCAATTCTCTATCCAACCTCCTTTGGTGCGTGACAAAAGGCTTTGAAAAATTCCACCGTCTTTGCTGAATCCTCAGATAAAATACATGTATATATTTTTTCAAATTTATTGTCCTCCATCTTATCATATAATATGCTGAATTTACAACTCTAATGGACTTGGTGAATTCCTGACCTATTCTTTACATTTAGGAAGATCCAATTATTTTTAAAACACATTTAAATTGTTAAGTAACACCTACTACCTTCTAATAAGAATATCCTGCCTAAAAGGAAAAAAATAAAGAATATTGTCTTTGCCTAATATGACAGCTAAACTGTCTAGGAGATTTGCTCTCTCTTTGACTGGGGCAGAGAATAAATCAAGCTAATTACCATAAAAGAGAGTTATTCTTAAAAGCTCAAACTTTGGAAAAGACCTAGCATTGTATTTCTTACCTTGATGAAGAAACTTAAAACTACAGCAAACACCTCTCTAATCCCTTGGGTTAATTTTACCATGATAAACAGGAGTATCAGTATCACTTTGATATGATCGAAGCTTGAATATTCAGTATTGGGTTTTTTCTTTGTATAGGTCAATTCCGTAGAATCAAAGTGCAGGTGATGTCCTTTATTTGCTTAGACCATCTTCTTTACTGCTGAATAATCATTTTTCACATCACAATAGCTACTGCTTTGGGTCTTCCCTTCAGAAATTGGTTTGGGGTTTTCTCTTTTCTGTGGTTTCTCAGCATACACCATAAATCTAATTTATGAAACCAGACATGCTTGGTCCACAACTTGTTTGAAACTTAAATCATGTGAAGTCAAAAATCAACTCAAATGCCTTAAATTCCAACTTTTTTATGGCAGCCGCCTCTATCTGTTTTTGCCATAGCTTCATGTAGAGTGAGATGGTTGATTATGAGAAGGACACTAAAATATCGCTGTTATAATTTTTTCACCTTTATTTTTGCTTTCTTTCTTTTATTTTCATCATTAGGAATATGATGAGGTTTGAGTCGTTGTACAAGGGTGATTAGATATAATAGGGTTGACTCAAGGTTAAATCTTCTTTTTTTCTTGATAAGTAACTCGAGGTTCAATCTTAGAAAAGGGTTTTCACACGTACCCTCACACGCGCGCGCACACAGTATTTCCACACTAAAAAACCATCCTATCAAGCACTAGGAAATTGATTGAAATTCAAAATTTCCCAAGTTTAGCATATCCTCTGCCTCCTATTTGTACATCTGATTTAGTGAACTAGCTGAGGTGTTCGTTGGCCAGCTAGTTGGACCCTCATACTGCACTACCCATGATTGCCAATCCTAAGAATCACTTCCTTATCAACAAGCAATTCTATGGTGGCATCATCAGTGTACATCCTTCCATGGGGTGAGTTTTGTAGAACACGTAACACCAATCATTACAAGGAAACTCAAGCATTCCCCCATTTTTCCTTTTCAGGTTCTTAGATTTTTTAGCATTGCATTTACATTCATCGGGTTCTTCTAGTTGTAGACGCAAACCTACAATCTTCATCAAACATTCAGGCAATGTCATCTTTGTAGAATTTATGAAGACTTAAAACTCTCTGTAAAGATTTCGTTAGTTTGTCTTTTTTCCTGTCAACATTTTCCAACAAAAGGATCTGACTGGAAAGATCTCCTTGTAGCTCTACAATTGTTTAAAAGGACGAAGAAGTTACGAAAAAGTCAGGGCCAGCATGATAATTATATTTTTCTTTAAGTGAAAAATGCTGTTAGGAAAAACCAAGTAAGAGGGAAGATGAGTAATCAATTTTCTTACCTGGCAACATACTCTTTACAGCCTTTGATTGTGATTGAATTCTTCTACACCCTGTTGCTATCTGCTAGTACCCTGGCCAAACCAAATTTTCCAGAAATGAGCAATTGGTGATTGGCAATGGTGATAAAGATATCTATCGCTATGTTTAACCTTTGGGTAAGGTTTAAATTCCTTGTTTGTCATGGTGCATATCACATGATGCAACCACTTCTCTGAACTTCTATTGGGCATAGCCATGAAAACTACAGGTTGAACTCATTGCCTTCCAAATTTATTCCCGAAAATGCTGCTATTGCCTTGAGAAGATTTCGATCTATGGTGATCCTCAAGGCTCACATTGTGCATTGAAGCTCTTGGAAGCTCCTACCTTAGCAAGATTGAGTCCCTTCACTTCAACAGGCTTTTCATCTTGATAGGAGAATTCCTATGTTGAGTTATCATTTTGGCTGACGCGTCGTAATATTAAATTAGATGAAATATTATTCTAAATTCTTGGAAGTTTTAAAGAAGAGAACTAGTATTTGAAGACTCGAGTATTATTCTAAATTTTTGGAAGTTAAATTCTTATGTCAGTTATCAATATAACTTGTTTTTGTATTTGAAACGATATGGTATGATTGTTATAACTACTAGTTAGTAGAGAAGATATGACATATTGCAACAACGGTTATGGCAGAAATAAATGTCTGAAGAGTCAGTATAGATATAAGATTTGAAGTATTGAAAGTCTCTCTCTAGTTCGACTTGGGACTTCTGGAGAAGCTCTAAAGAATGTTTCAGAGAAGGTGTACAAAAAGAAAGAGGTAGAAATTGGAGCAAGAATACGTGTGTGTGTGTGTGTGTGTGTGTGTGTGTGTGTGTGCAAGCATGTGTTTATATAGGTACATGTGTATATAATTATATACATATGTGCGATATTTGGGGGTTGTAATTTATACAGTAGATGGCAGTGTTGAAGTGCAAAGAATGAGGAAAAAAGAAGTCTGAACAATTGCTCTCATTTAAAAAGTAGCAATTTCACTAGCATTAACTCATAAAATTATACCATCAAATTAAGGGGGATTTTTTTGTTATGACCCGTGGAATTTGAGCCAAAATGAATATGATCAAATTTGCAATTTCTTCGTCAGACTCGAGGAAAAACCGGTCTGCATTCTTGAAGGTATTCAATACAATTTCGCGTTGAGAATTTGTGTAAACGAAAACAAATGGATTCAACCTAATTTCATTTTGATTGTACGCAACTCCATTTAGTTCTCAAAAAACTGTAAAATCTACTCTTTTATATAGTAAAATAAGACAATATAATAATTCTATAAAGGTGGGTAGATTTTAGACTATAAAAGATAAGTTTTAAGAGTTTTCCACGACTTTCCATATTTTCCCTTCAACCCAAACCCCCAAAACAACTCATGCTCTAGCTTCAACAGAGCCGGTTGCATTACAAGAATAAATCATTTATTAACAAATGCCAACTCAGCCAAGTCGATTGCACGAGCAAGACCAGCAACTTTGTTCTCGCACTCTCTCTGTTCGTCATCGGGGACACTATCAGCCACCATGCCAGCATCGGATTGTAGGTAAGCAGGCCATTCCCGGCGCACGGTGTTGTTCTTGTTTGAGTACATTGAATCGTAATGTGATGATGCTAAAATCGGCCGGCTTGAGCCGATCTTAAATTGAGATGTTGCGGGAACCAAATCTATGGTTTAAGTGTAAATTGTCAACTTTAGTCCCTTTGAACAAGTTGACTTTCAGGCGATATTGAGGAAAAAATGGAACAGAAAAATTTCTCTTTGAGTTCAAAATTGCCTTAGTTAAAAGGACTTTTCAATGAATAACTTATAGTAAATATTGAGAGAATAGAAACGGGAGAGAAATAGATATAGAAAGTGATAGGGAGAAGAGATAGAGAGATAGAGATATAGGGAGAGAAATAGAACGAGACTGAAATAGATAGAAAGAGATAGAGATAGCAAGGATACTATTTAGGAAAAATGCTTGAGAAAGCAAACAAATAAATATAATGATTCTGAGGGTGCAGGACCTCTTACAATGAATACTTCTACAATTATATTATAGAAGTCATAAAAAGTCCTAAAATGAATAACTACATAAAAAGATAGAAATTAATTCCTAAACAAACTCTATTAGATAAGACATATCATATCCAAGGTGCCAACTCTTTTGAAGATATTAAATATTCTGATAAAATCCTTCTTGATATCACTTCCCTGCAAATTCACCGTAGTTGAAACAATACGATGATATATATCCTCCTTTATCTCTCATAAAATAAGGATAATTAAGGACAATAACATTTCCACTTGATTCAAAACTCTTATAATGAATCATTAATTATCTCTTTTAACAATTCCAATTATCCCTTCATAACCCAAAATACGTATATATCTGCCACATCATCATGCCACCTCACTGTCACTTAATTTACCAAAATGGGTGTCAACAATGCCCCCCAATTTTAAATGTCTTATCGGCTGTTGACCGCTCAAGCCGATATGATATTTGAAATTTAAAATATATTGGAAGGAAATTAATGGCTGAGCTAATCACTTAGAATAAGAT